AAGTATTAAAAATATTTTAAAAATAATATTTTATAGACTACTAATTATTTCTCTTATAGCTATTCATTCTATTTGTCATTTTATTATAACATTATATTAAATTAATATTGTTTTATTTCATTTATAATAAAGAAGCTCGCTCATGAGCCGGACCGAACTCCTAGACTATGCTAGAACTCGAACTCAACAGCAGCAGCAACAACAACAACAACAACAACACCGGACCGAACTCCTAGACTTTGCTAGAGCTCGAACTCAACAGCAGCAGCAACAACAACAACAAGCCTTTATCCCACCAAGTGGGGTCGGCTTCATGAATCATTTTACTCCATTATGTCCTACTAAATGTCATATTTTTCATTTAATTCTAATAGATTAAGATCCGTTTTCATCCCATATACTTGTCGTTTTCATCCAATATACTTGTAAATTAATCAAATTTAAGCCCAAATGGAGGATCACTCATAGCTCAAAAAGCCATGTGCTCACTTGACAGTTGACAATTGACAATAGGCTATGATTTAAAAAATGAATTAAAAAATAAGAAAAAAAAAACTATAGTGACACGTGTACCATCGTCCGACCCATTGTCCTCGCGAGTCAGCCGACACCGGTTCGGTTGATGACCAGCTCGGCAATTTATATTTAAAGCTCGGGCCCATGGGCCCCACTTTCTCCCCCTCACATTTCGCGGTCTTCTCCTCCTTCGAGAAGAACGGAGACCTGCGCGGTTTGTTTTTCCTTCTCCACGTTCCTCCTCCCCCTGCCGCCCGAATTCCTCTCTAGGGTTTCGCTTCAGATCTCTTCCTCTCCGGCAATCGGGTTCTTAGGGTTTGTGAGGCCGAAGTGAGTCTTCGTCGCCATTTCTTTGAAGTTATTGGCAGCGGTTGCGCGTCAGTGCAGTATGGAGGATTGAATTCTGAACGGTGGAGTCTGTTTGATGATCTGTTGATGAGGGACGAAATGGAGAGCGATGGAGAAGTAGATGGAAGAGGTGTGGGAGATTCTTTGGATGATGAAATGAGAAGAGATTCGGTAACCAATGCGCCGCATTTGAGGAAATTGGGAACAAGAGGTTTAGGCGTTTCGCCATCACTTCGTGCTGGTAAGTAATTTGACGGTGGCTATTTTTAATCGCGTTTTAACATTTTGATAATGGCTGAGTCATTATTATTATCTTCCTGTTATTTTATATGATGATGGGCATCTGTCTCTCTGATAAATTTCCGGTGGTGGGATGTGTGAGGTCCAGGGTCTACATATGCTCGTGTTCATTTGGGATTGCCTCGGGTTTTTGATTTGTGCGTACAATTTTTTTTATGAGCCCGCAACTTTAAGGCCATTATGAACCACCCTACCATGCCACTAATTCGGTGTTTGCTATTTGTAGCTTTGACGGCCTTCTATGAATGCTTCATCGTGGGGTTTAATTTATTCTTGGATATATTCATGGTCGTTATGAAAAAGAGATACGATCCACCTTCCCCCCGGACTTGGAAATCTTAGGAGTTTTAGTGCATTTGGACTACATAGGTTTTGAAGTTTCAGGTGTTTGGTTGCAAATAAAATGATTCCAAATTATTTTTTTAAGGAATTTAGAAGACCTTGGAGACATGTTAGTTTGGACTTGTGGTAAAACAACTCCATGGACAATATGCAGCCTTTCATTGAAAAGTTTGTTGAGCATATGAATAAGTGTTAGTATTAAAATTCATACTAGCTAGTAAATTAAAGCTTGCAAGTTATGTTTTTTTGGGAGTTTAATGAGCGTGACCATGCTTTAGTCCATATTTACCATGGACTTTTCCACACAATATCTTTTAAAATGCCTCATGCTTGATCTTTGGGTTCATTCAATATTTTAAAGAAAATAGGTTATAACGCTTGATTTACCTCAAGAGTTAATATTATTACTTTTCAAACAATGAAGATATATTATTTTTTTAATGAAAAATTTGAGCTACATGTTTTTTACACTAATGCTTTTTTGGGTGGAATTTTTATACATAAAATTCAGTATTATTCTTGTTTTCTTTCCATTAGCTCTACATTGGACAGCCCATTTTTAGTAGAATTTTGATTGATGAAATTGTAAATGCCAATTTTGTCCAGCAAAATTTGGACGATGACGTCTTTGATGGAGACCTAAATGCATTTCCCGTTTGACCTGCACATGCTTTCACTAGTTAATTGGGTCTAGTGCAGTGATAACAAAGACATATATAGTTTGATAAAAGATTAGCTCAATAAGTTGTCGCAGATTTCACAAAACGGACTATCCTGATGAGGCTGAAATTTCAAAATTGTCCCAAAAAACCATTTGTAGCTCCATGTGTGAAAAAAGTTTTAGGAGAGAGCTCCCACACACTAATTTTTTAAAATTAATAGTAATATTAATATAAGAATCAGTATTTTTTTATTATGTAAAACTTAACGAAAAAAGATTATTATAAAAGTTAGTAAAAATATTGTTCTAGTTATTTATTATTATTTCTTAATAATTTAATTCAATATATATATGACAAAAATTATTCTAAATTTTTTCTATAATTATTTTAAAAAACAGGTACACAGTAATTTTTTGCTACATAATTAACAAAATCAGGGGTGTTGCATGGATGTTTGTATTTCAGTGTGCTATATGACTAACGCCAAGTGATGCTGGGTGATGTGACTTATGTTTTTGATTTGCTTCTTAATAAGTGGAATGATATTTTTGTTAAAGACTTAAGTCATCAAATTATAATTGAGCTGAATACTAGTTATTCATTAACCTCAAGCTTTTTTGATAACTTTGATGTCAGAAATGAGAATGCAAGATTGACGTCTAATAAAATTACAAATACAGCGGGAGATTGTTATTAGGGATACATTGAAGTATCCATTTTGAAGGAAGGGTAGCAAAAGATGGACTCAATATATTTGAGCATGTACAATAAAAGGTAAAAGTTATGCCAATAAGATGTTCCTGAAGAATTAATTTGGAATAAATTTTGGCAAAGGTGTAGAAGAATATGAACACTATAAAGATTATGCAAAATAGTTGGAATAATGTTGATGGTTATGTTCCTTTAAATATGTTAGTCTAATTGAGGTTTGGGCTAGATTTGGCTTATTAATTTAGCTGGTTTGAGTGTGCTTGAATGTTTGTACTTCTACTAGAAGCATTTTTTATTATCATAAATTACAATATTCCTTGGTAATTTTCCAAATGAATTAAACTAATGAGTTTGTTTCCTTGGCATGATTAGATTTTGAACATTGAAGTCCTTTGCTTTCTCCTTTTTTCTTTAATATTATGCTTTTGCAGGCTTGCAGCATTGTAATTCTGCACCTATAAAATCTAATGATAGTAGTTTGCTTCGTGATGATCGAGATGCTGCCTTATCTAGATCAAAGACAGACAAGAGAGAAGCCATGAAGTGCGACTTAATGTTGGACATGCTATCGGAGAGGGAAAAGGTGTCTCTGTGCTCCAATGTATTCTTTTAATTCAGTGCTTGCATGGATTATGTTGATGAATGCGCTACAACATTCAACTATCTGTTTTCATATGCTCAGAAATGTGTGATTTTATGAAGTTATACCTTGATGCCCGTTTCTTTTTTCTTTCGTGAACTATCTCACTTGCATCTGCATGTCAAATTATTTATAAAGTAGACACGCCATAGTATATTTCTATATATTTCTCTTATTAATTGTTAGATTTTGTACCTCATGTTAATGTTTGCATTCTAAGCTACTCATATAACTTCCATCCCTATCCCACACGTTTTTATTAAGAAGATTACTATGTCCAGAAGAAGATTATGGAGGACTTGGTGAAAATCCAGAATAATGGCACTGTGGAGGTTAATGTAACTCAGGGAGCTCCAGTAGCAACAGAATTGTTGAAACTTGATGCTATTGATTTTTCTTATTTTGAGCTTGAAGAGGATATCTCTGGATTCAACAAATCAATCCCTAAACTGAAGATTGCTATGCTTGTTGTTGGAACAAGAGGAGATATACAACCATTCATAGCTTTTGCAAAGAGATTGCAGGCATGTGTATCTGTTCTATTTAATCATATATTAGTATATTTGTTGTTTCTTTCTCCCATTTAACACCATTTGTTTTTCCATATTTTCAATCATTTAGGCAAAATACTGGACTGGATGAAACAGATTCGCTTTGAATTTTTATTAAATGAAATTATGTCAACTCAATTACTGTCAATTGTTTAATAAGTTGGGCTGCGGTCATAACCTGAAAGAGAAGTTCATCAGTGCTCAGTCACTCGATCAAGCTAAATAAGGATATGAATTCCTAATTTTAAACTTAACCTTAATTTAACAGTTATTTTATTTGGATTGATCTAGTTAATGCCATTAAATTTATTGGTCCTGACCTGCTCATATAATCCATAAGTTGATAGGGTTAAACATGATGCTAATGAAGATAAACTGATATAGCTTCATTAAAGATCGACTCAAAATACTTTCAATATGCCACTGATTTTGCCAAATAGTTTGTCCTGGTTTTGGGTGTCAAATCAGCTTTGTGGGCCATGTTCAGATTTGAAATGAAATTGACCATACATGAAACTGCTTGAATTGAATTTGACTTGTATATTAACACGTTAACAAGTAACTTGAACCCAACCCGCCTACCCCACGACTGACTTAAATCTGTCCCACATATCCCATTTAATATATATAATAGCTATTGAGATAAAATTTTGGCCAAATTTGAGTGTTTTTTGGATTGACAGGTTAAATTTTGCTCGATTTTAAGTTAGTGGATGAATTTTTGGTTGGTGGGTTAACTCATACCTAACTAAAAAAAAAAAAAACTCGTTGGGATTCTATGCCCGAAACCGACCCCAAAATTTTATTGAGTCAACCCAAACTTAAATTTTTTGAGTTAGGTTTGAGACGAGTCGATGTGTCGGGTGAAATTTTCTCTTCCTTTTTCTCTAAACTTATCTCAACCTCTTAAATGTATTGTTGACCTAATCCAGTGTATATAAAATGACCTCACTGCCCTTCATAATCATCATAGGCGGCTTTCTTGGCTCGATAAGAAGTTTATTTTGATCAAATTTTATGATTTCCTTGCACAGGAGTTTGCTTAACATTTATTTGGATACATGCACATCTATCTTGACATGGGTATAAAAATTGCTCGTCTAGGTACTCATTACAACACCCATATACTTCTTTTTGATGAAACAAGGGTCTAAATTTTTATTGTGATGTCTGATAAACAACACATATATGGCTTTTTTGCCTTGTTAGGATGGCCGTACACATCAATAATTTTGTAGGGGTTACATAGAAGCCTTATTAAAATTTAGTGAAAAAAATTCTATCTAAATAGATAAAATTGCTAGCAAGATATAATTAACATGACAAAAATGAAAACGATGAACTAAGATTTACATAGTAAGCCAACAAGGACTTTTAAAATTGTGGTTCAAGTCCAATTAAAAGCAATTAATGAACAAAAATGGATTCAGGGGTTCTTTGGTTTGTTGCAAAAGGAGTAGATTGCATTTCTTTTACACGAGTTTTATAAAATGGGTGTTTAGTCGGATGAATGGAAACTGGTGGTAAAATATAATGTATTTGAAATTCATTCTCAAGTTTATTATTAATGTATTTGGAACTCACTGTATTTAGGCAAATTTCTAATGTACCGCTGTGTAATTGTTGCATGCCATCGCCACCCATCGCGGTCGATGTCTGCAGATCGTCACTAGTCAGCAACTGCCCCCTACTAGTAGGCCTCTTGTCCTTTATCATTTGTTGCTTCCCACACACCCTTCGCAGCTGTCTCTGCCCAACCGCCTGTAGCCGACATCCGCCCGCCTCTCTTCGCCTTTGCTACCGCCCATCTCCACCTGCCATTTGCACGCTGCTCGCTTTTCTCCAGTTGCCTATCACCTGCTTGCCTCCACCTGCCCTTGCTTGTTCGTCGCCCACTTCTTAGCACCCTTTACCTATCATGGCTTTGCCCAAGAACTTGGAAGTCAATCAAGGAGGGAGTAGACGGTTAGACAGTGAAAGTAAATATTTTTAAATTGTAGTATTATTTCATAATAGCATTCAACTTTAAAAGAGTCATTAATCTAGAATACATGAGTAAACATCCTCTAATAAAGTGCACAAGATCATTCAGTTTGATACAATAAAATAAGTAATAAAATAAAAATGACAAAATATATAAGCTAAATAAATTGCTTCCTATTTTCAATATCCTCTCCTGTAAACAAACTCTCTTAATAAGCATATCTGTCCGACAAAGTTTTTCCTAAAAGAACACTTAAATAATATGTTAAATTTTAAAAAAATCATGAATAATTACTACTTTATTATATATATTAAATTATTATGCAAATGCCTAACATGAATGCTCAAAGGAATATGCTTCTTAACATGGTCAATACAATCTTTAACCTTATTGGAATAATTCATGCGTACGGATATATGCCCTCACTCATCTATTATGGCTCATGGAATTCACATAAGCAACTTTATGTCGCTTTTTTCAGTAGGAATGAGTAGGTCAACCCTTAAACTTATTAAACCACTATGTGTACCTGCATGAACTATGTTGCCATACATGTTGAATGCCAGTATTTGCTTTGTCTTTGAGTTTGTTGAATTCAAATAGTTTGACCAGCTCAACCCTTAATCTTATTTAACTATAGAAACGTTTGGCTTTGTTTTTAGATTTGTTGCGCTGAGGGAAGTGTGAATGTATAAAATTTGTTTTAGGAGCTTTTCAGATTCGTATGACACACTATACTCTTTATTTTTTTTGAGTTACGGAGACAGATTGGCATAGTGACTAGGCATATGTTTGTTGATTGTATAAGACTTTAGCTTTAAGGCTTTTTTGCTTAGATTAAATTTTTTTAATTAAATTTAATATTTTATTTGAGAAGCTAGATAAGATTTTCCAACTTTGAAGGGACCTATGGCAATTGTCCTGCCGCATGTCGAACTTGGGCTTTAGTGTTTGATTTCCTTTGATGGAACACCTTTAGGTCAAGTTATAAAGTTTTGAAGGAAGATTTTATTTTTATTTTTATTTATTTTTATTTTTTGGATTTGCTTATGTTTGTACCTTTCACCGGGGGACCTTCAAGGGATGTATTACCCATATGTCACACTCTGAGCATTATCATGCAAGTTTGGTGATTGAGGCCTTATTCTTAAAGTTTACTTTTGGGATCTTTTGATGATGGATATCAAAGAATTGCATTACTCAGAAGTCAGTTGTTAGACCTCATAGTTCACCATGCTAGTTTTTTGTGGTCAATCTTTGTTAACTACTTACTGTATGTCACATTTGCCATGGATGCTTGCATATTTGAGGCTTTAACCTTATAGTTGGATATTAGGACCTTTCATCTTTGAATGTCTAATAATTGAGGCTTTAACCTTATGTCACATTTGCCATGGATGCTTGCATATTTGAGGCTTTAACTTTGGCTTTAACTTTATAGTTGTGCCATGGATGCTTGCATATTTGAGGCTTTAACCTTATAGTTGTATATTAGGACCTTTCATTTTTGAATGTCTATTAATTGCATTACCCATATTTCATATTTTGGCGCTTACCATGTAACTTTGATATTTGATATCTTGAATTTAGAGTAGGTAATAGGTTTAACGGGATACTTTGATGGATATTTTGAAATTGCATACCCCCTATGCCATAGTTTGTTTGCTTATCATGCAAATTTTAATATTTAAGGCCTTTAGCTTATAATTGATTTTTGTGTTTTAGTGACACATTTATAGGATTGCATTGCCTGATGCAAACCTCGGTGTTTGTTGTGTAATCTTTAATATTGAGGACATTAACCTTAGAATTGGTTGTTGGGACCTTTTTGGGTCTAATATTTGGGAATTAGATTGCCTAGATTTAATATCTTAGGGTTTATTTTATTGGTTTGGATATTTAAGGTCTCCACCTTTAACGTTGGCTATTGGGAATTTTAGATGATGTATCTATTGTTTATCGTATTGCTTCGATGTCATTCTCTAGGGCTCAATGTTTAAGTTATGTTATCTAAGTTCTTGACCTTTTTAGTTGGTTGTTAGGATCTTCTAATGGAAGATTTTTTTTGAAGTTTTTCTTCCTATGCCTCAGCACTCATTATGACATGTTTTAATGGGTTTCAATCTTTTAGATTACGAGTCTTAATTTGTTGTAGCTTTTTTCTGAGAAGTTACTTTGGCCTTCACTTTGAGTTTATCACTATATTTTTAAGTATGCTATGTTTAGAGAAATGTGGTCGCTCGTAAACCTTTTTGGGTATCGTCTTTCTTTGATAATCTAATGTCCATAATAAATGGAGTTTTTTAACTAGTGTGATGCCACTAGGACCTTATACTGATGGATCTCTAGGTATATTTCACAAACATCATGGCCAATGCTCATCATGTGGCTTTATTTATGGGACTCGAGTGTGAGGTATATGTTAAGATGCTTTTTTTCATGCTAAGCATTATCTTGATAGCCAGACTTAAAGTTTTGAAGAGAAGTTGTGGAAAATTATTAGTTGACTCGCTAACCTTTTTTTGTGAATCATTTTTCGTTATTTATTATGATAAACTTTGAAATTAGGGCTAAACTTTTGAGCTTGCTATTAGGAGCTTTTAACAATGGACCAGACAATGTAATTAATCCCTCCATGTCATATTTTTGTGTTAATTATGCTCCATCTTTTATAAGATATTGATCTTCGAGCATTTGAATATGATCTTAAACCAACTTTTTTGTGGAACACAACTCATTTTTGTTACCTTGAGGCTTTCCCTTTATAGTTTCTATGAAAACCCAAAAGGGTAATGGTGGTTGGCTTGCCATCTTCTTTGTGCGTCCCCCCCTCCTTATCAGACTTGAAGGACACTTATTGATAGAGGAGGGCCTTCTTTTTAGCTTATGGGGTGATTCTAAGTTTCTCTTTAAAGATTATTTAATGACTTTTTATTATTACCCTTGATCTATTAGAACTATTATTTATTTATTTATTTATTTGTGTAGT